GGAATATTAAAAGGTGCCCAATGTAGGATCCTCTAAAAGACTTAGGAGATTTCTGAGAAAAAGACAGCAATGGCATGATTTTTTTTTTTTCTTAAGTGTTCCTAAACCATAACCATCTCAGCTTCCAATTAAAAACAGAGCAACTGAGACCAGCAGATGACAAAATGGTTACATTGCTAGATTCCCATGTAGATGACCATTGTTTGAATCCCAGACCTGCAACCTTAAAACTCTTGGCAGGTACATGATTTTTCTGTCTCTGGCAAGTGCATGCACCCTATAACAAAAATCTCTCTTAAAAAAGAATAAAAAATAGAGCAACTAACATGACAAAACGAAAACCCATAAATAATATCAACAACAAAATGAGGCAATGAAATATCCCCCAAAATTCCTCAAAACAAGAGGATAAAACATTGATACCTACAAGATCCATACCATATAAGCATTATCTTTGTGGCAAGAAGCAGAGAAGCTTTGAATAGCCCCATCCTGTCAATTTTGGTGTGCACACACATATTCCCAGCATGTTTTTCATGCTGCTGGGGCCAGGACTCAAACAGCACAGATGGCCATATGGGATTAATCAGCAGGCAATGGGGCCAGCCCACAAAAAATCTATATTAATTAGGACAGAGAAAAAAAAAAAAGAATAAAGGAAAAACTAGGTCTAGACAAAAATGGACTTGAAGGGCCATTTGGTGGCATGGTGATTGAGGCAGCTGGATCCCACATGGCTGACTGTGTGGTTTGAGTCCTAGATCCTACAGCTTGAAAAAACATGCCAGGTGCGGGTATGCATGCACATACAAGTGCATGTGTGTGCGTGTGTGTGTATGTACCTAAAAACCTAAGAGAGGAATGGAGGGGAAGAGATTGCCGCCTGGCCATCCACCTGGGTTGTGCTTTCTCACTTTCTCTCTCTGTCTCTTTCTGGTAAGTGCACATACCCTACAGTAAATTTTTAAATAAATGGACTTGATAGGTGAGTTACAGGAGTGAGGCTAAAGGTTAGCCTAAGTAGATGACAGCTACTTTACTGAATGAAGATGGAGTGAGGGGCAGATCATAGGCTTATAATCTAATTCAAGAACAGACATCATCCATGTTTAGGGAATTCTCCTAAGACTGAGGACATCCTAGGGGACATTGTTTCTAAAACAGGGCTAACTCTTAATTAACACATACACATTATGTGCACAAAATATTTGAGGGTACAAAATATTTAACCTCCAGTGCTTAAGCCCATTCGTCACAGTTATTGCTCAACAGGATTCTACTATGAAAGCAATGGAAGGGAACATAAATAAACAATATAAGTACAGTTTCTATTATTCTGGAATTCAACATAGAATCTCCAGCAAGATCTGAATCATGCTTTGCTTAAACACTTCAAATACAATCCTAAAAGGTGGCTTAAAATACAAAAATCAATTAATCTGCCCTGCCCTCCTGGCTAACTAACTCAAAGACTGCTCGACCAAGTGGATGTGCAGTCCTGAGCCTGGGGAGACAGAGGAACTGAGTAGTCTTAGTAAAGGTCATCTGCAGAGCTCAGACTACATTTTCTTCTCCCACCCATTACCTGCTGAGCATGCAACTTCTTGGCCTCAGCGATTATAGCCAACAGCTACAGAAAGGGACAAAGGGTAGCAGCATTTTCAAAAGCATTTTTATTGCAGTGGTGAGCAGAATTAACAGATGAAAGTAGTTTATCGTCTATATTACTGAAACCATCTGCATACCAAAACACCCCAAGTGAAGTAGGTTCAAATTCCGCATCTACCATTGACATAGCTAGAACAAATTTGAATAGTGCCTCAGAGTAAAAACCAGCCCTTTCATTCTCAGTCTCAGTCTCCATCTGGAAAAGATTTTATACTACCAATCTCGAAGTGCTATAATGAGGATTAATATCTATAGTGCGTGGCAGGTATAGATATTCCTTGCACCCAATGGCAGTTATTATTCAATGCACGCAATCTCTTGTCTAGATAACACAATTAACATCAGGTACATTACTGAGTATGAGAAATTACAAAGTGCTTAGTTAAATTATGCTTTGTAACATAAAATAAAAAGATTAAAAAGACTGGACTTTACTACATGTGTTTGGGTAAACAACAATGAATACATGTACCCAGATCCATAATGGCACTTATTAAATACTTGGCAGTTTTTTTAGACTCTTAAAGAAAATATTTAAAAAAAAATTTCCTCTTTATTCATGATAGAGCACAGGAATAGTAACCACTCTCAATAGGATCTGGTCATGCCACAATCCCTTCTCCAGTCCTCCAGACCATCAGATTGGACCAGTAAGTTTCAGGCAACTGAGCCAGGGATTCGAAATGCAGTCACCATGTGGATTCTGGTTTATCTTAAGCAGCACATTACCACTGTCAGTGGAGCTAGCCTCAGAAAACGGTTATTTGAAGCATCGAAGGAGCTTTAGAGGAGTCTTTTAGCCATCCTTCTAGCTATTTTTCAGGCAGCAGCTAGACTTAAAAATCAAGTATCAATGACTCTATCTCTAGGTGATGAATGAGGCAAAAATTAGCACTTGTTTGAAAAGTTCCACAGTATCCACTATCCCAATTTCTTCACTAGAAAAACCCGAAATCTTGCAACCAGGCTAAAGCAGACATAGAGTCCCAACTTCTTCTGGAATTCATACCTTAATCTACACGCTTCATTTATTTATTTCTCAGCAAGGAAAAAGAAAAATTGCTATTTCAGGACCAGCAGATAGTGTAATGATTATATTGCTGGAATCCCGTATAGTCCACTGCAGTTCAAGTCCTGAACCTGGCAGCTTAAAATTCACATGGGGCCTGGGATAAGGAGTTAGTGTAATGACTATGTCACTGGATTCCCATGTAGTCAACCGCAGTTCAAGTCCCAGACTCCGTGGCTTAAACTCACGCCATATGCGTGTGCATGAGTGCCCAAGATCTCGAGAGAATGGAGGAGAAGGAATTGCAGTGTGGCCATCCACCCTGGGGGGTGATTTGTTGCTTTCTGTCTCTGTCTCTCTCAGTCTTTCTGGTGAGTGCATGTGCCCTATAGCAAAAACCTCTCAGAAAAAAAAATCACATGGGGTGCATGTGCATGTATGCCCAAAATCCCGAGAGGAGAATGGAGGAGACAGGACTGTGGCACGGCCGTCCCCCTGGTGGGTGAGCTTTCTGTCTCTCTGTCCTCTGTCGAGTGCATGTGCCCTATTGTAAAATCTCTCTCTCTCTAAAAAAGAAACCAACTATCTCATTTTTTTTACAAGGTCCAGGATCAAAGATTTTCATTTTAGTACTAAGTAGCCTGAAAAGCTGTGAGACACCATTGTTTTGTTCCCGCCACGGATAACTCTTAGGTGGATTAAGATGATCCCCAAACTATAAACATTTAAAATATTCACATTACAGAACCAGCCTTTCATCGTAATCTCCATAAGGAAAATATTGACAGAAAGTTTCAGGGAACAATGCTGCACACAGAAAGAAAAAAATGACTACCTTGTCTCCTCAGGACTAGTCGTCTGACCTCAGGAAAGCAAGAGAAAAAAAAGTGTGAGGAAAAGAAAATAATGGTCTCTGAAAGGAAGAGTGACTATGGCTACAGCAAATTAGTATTCTTCCTGTCTCCAACTAAGAACATTTCTTATCAAATAGACCTTTTTTTTTTTTTTTTTTGAGAGGTTTTCGCTATAGGGCGCGTGCGCTCGCCAGACAAAGAGAGAGAGACATAGAGACAGAAAGCAAGAAATCACCCCCCAGGGGGGATGGTCACGCCGCAATCCTTTCTCCTCCATTCTCCTCTAGGGATCTTGGGCACACACGGACACGCGCCCGGCGTGAGTTCTAAGCCACTGGGTCCGGGATGCAAACCGCGGTTGACTACGTGGGAATCCAGTGACACAGTCATTACGCTAACTGCTGGTTCCCTCAAATAGACTTTTTTTTCAACAGAGAACTTTACATTTTTTCTATATGTCCAACATTTCCTCCCCCTTTTAGAGAACTTTCTCATCTGTTAGTGTACCCAAAGATATATTCTGCTAGTATCTATATACTCAGATAATTGACATCTAAACTGGATTTTCTTTCCAGAGTAAAATTTTGTCAAAAAAGTTTTCAAAAGCACCCTTTTAAATAGTCAATTAAAAATAATAAGAACCAAGTATGGTAGAATGAATCTGATGAAAAATATCAGGAAAAAATTTACAGATTTTCATCCTAATTTTCTATTTTAGCTATTTTAGAAATGAGAAAAATAAACTGCTATACCAGGAGTAATATCCAATTCAGAATGTTATTATTTTTTTAGAGGTTTTCACCTCAGAGTGTGTGCTTGCTGGAAGAGAGAGCGAGACAGAGACAGAGAAACAGAGCCAGAGACAATGAGAGGGAAAGTGAGAAATCCAACTAACTAAGCCTTAACTGCAAAATATTTTGACTCTAGGAACTTAAAAAGATCCTATGTAAAGTTTCTTTTGTTTGTTTCTTACAGCCTATACCAGATTTTCCCCTTTTTATCAACAGAAACTTGGTTTAAAGTGTCCTAATCCACATCATGCATCAACTCTTATATATGACAGTTTGTGTGTGGATGTATGCATATCCTTGATAATGTATTTGCTCTCCTATGGTCTGTCCTCTCAAAAGTAAACTAATGAAAAATGTAGTACCTTCCAGTAAACTGAGATTTTACCTTATATTTTAAAAAATTATCTAACTTTATTTAATTTGACCAGAGAGGATGAGAGAAAGAGAGAGAGAGAGAGAGAGAGAGAGAGAGAGAGAAACCAAGCAACCAGGTCCAGGACTCAAACCATAGTCAGCTATGTGGGAATCCAGTGCCCTTAATCACTATGCCACCTACTTGCCCCCTTGTATTTTTTTTTTTTTTTTGTAAGAGTAAGTACATATTTTCAACAAAATCCTTAATCTTTGAAAGATTATCATCTTTAAAGTGAACATGAATTAAAATAAAATGCAAATATAACCCATTTGAATAAATTTTTATTAGATGAAAATTGCTTTATATTGCCTGATCTAATTACAGCTATTCAAAATTCCATTCCAAGGTTGAATTTTCAACCTTGAAATTCCAATAATACAATTATTGATGATATTTTGACAGGGAGAACAGAAAAGATTTGGTAGTAAATAACAAGAATCTTGTTTATTATAGTAAATACTTTCATGGCATTTGAAAGAACTTAGAACTATTTATTTGAAACAGGTTTAAATCTTTGAAACTAAGCCAACCAGGATGAAATCTTTATTTAAGAAAAAGAAGAGAAAAAAAAAAAAGAGCAAACCATCAAAAGATACATTTCATAAAATAGCAACATATTAAAACAGAGCCAAGTGATAGGATAGAATAGAAAAGACAGCTAAGCAAAGGATTTAAGAAACTTTGATTCTGTCCATCTGACTTGTTCTAATGGTCCTCTTTGTTCTTCCATTGTTACATATGTAAAATCAGGTATGATATTTAAGATGGCCTTGCAAGATGTACTAAGAGTTTAAAAGGGATTATTGAAAAAGTGTTAGAATATTTAATAAATACCATTAACAAAAATATTATACTTTTTCTTCTTGTTCCAGTGAAGCTGTCCTTTTAAATCAGACTGTTTATCAAACTTTCACCTACAGAGATGTTAGCTTTCTTCCAAAGTGAAACTCCCAGATTCACAATATTTCTGATTAAGACAGACAATTAATACCAGAACTGTCCTACCGGAGGACAAAAGAGAGAACTGTAGCATGATTGGTAAAGTCCTTAAAATTAGTTTCACTGAGTTATGAATCATCCAACTGACATTATATTTTGAAACTCTGGCTCTTCTATTCAAGTATAATTTTGAGTTGTATTCTATCTCAGTGTGAGATTTCTTATATAAGTAGAAAGAATTTCATTTCTGTAAACATTTACAGTGCCAGCTGTTTCTCTGAATAGATTTTTTTCCCATTAAGAGAGCTGCTCCAGTGAAGAATTATTTCTTACATATCATTTCCAGATGCAAAAAGAAACTCAACAGTTTTCTGTGAAAAGCAGAAATAGCCAAGTAATATGAAAGCTTTCTGTATTCAAGGATTTACCTACCTATTACAAACATATAATCATTCTCTACAGATTCCTAATGAATTGAAAATGATCTCCAGTTACTTATAGCTCATCAGATGTGCTGTTGACCTTTGGTAATTCACATTCTTCATTGGTGTGACAACTCTGAAGGATATCTTTGTAGTGGTTCTTCAGATCCTCATACAAAGAAACAGTTTCTTGTGAATGAGCCAAGGGCAATACCTTTTCATTCAGTAACATCTGCACTTGGAATTCTTCTTTGGGAGTCTTAGCATTTTTACAATGGTAAAGCACAAATATTAAGTTTGAGGCATAAGGTACAATGTGACCACTTCGGAACTTCCGATGCATTTGTTCCTTATAATTGTAAGCTGTGAGGGGCTCCTTGTCTTTGAAGTACCCCATGAGAGAAAGCAGTGGAAGAAGGGTCTCTGCATGACCGAACTGTAGTACAACTGGAGAAGAAACTGGCTGAGACCTAAAAGGAGAAATTGAGAAGAAAATAAAAAGTACATACATTCATGTCAAAGAATGCAATATCTACACTTGGAAGTAGTATCCGGCTTTCCCTTTTATTTTCCTCCTAGTTTTTCTTTTCTTTTTTTTAAAGTTTAAGTAAGTCCATCTTCTTTTTCTTTTAAAATAATTCTTTTATTTAACTTTGTTTATTTATTTACTTATTTTAACTTGACGAGAGAGAGAGAGAGAGAGAGAGAGAGAGAGAGAGATCAAGTCACCACGTCCAGTACTTGAATTGCAGTTGGCCATGTGGAAATCCAGTGCCCTTAACCACCACGCTATCTGCTGGCCCCATACTCCCATTTTCTTACACCATTAAACATAATTCAAGTTATGTCTGAAATTCTGTGTGGCACAGAACTGAATTTTATATACCAAAAGTTAAGTTCCCCAATTCAGGATCACTGTACAGATGCAAAGCCATCGAATATAGTGTGAATACACATTATCCTCTACATTCAAAGGAAGAATAGAATCTTACAGATGTGTATTTCAACGATATTGCCCTCCTGTGGATGAAATTGAGCTAACTACCCCTTAGTAAATAATTATTGCATGGAACTCTTCTGAATCAAGTTGAAAGTGTTGTTAGTTTATCTATATCTAAGGGACAAGGACGAGCAATATTCAGTGAATTTCTTAGTTGAGAACAAATATGAACAGTGAACAGTAGTAATTCATGTACTTTTCCAACAGTTTACAAGACCTGATTTGGGCACCAGATTCAGAACAGAATCACAAAAGGGTGACACAATCCAGTGTGCTTCTGCTTGGGAGTGGGAGTTCATACAACACTGGACAGACACATAAACACTATCAGCTAAAACTGTTTTTTTTTTTTTTTTCGATTTTTGCCATAGAGCGCATGTGCTCACCAGAGAGAGAGGGACACAGAGAGACGAATAGTGAGAATAACCCCCCCCAAGGGGGATGGCCACATCACAAACCCCTTTTCTCCATAACTTCTATTCTCCTCTCAGGATTTGGGGCACACTTTTTTTTATATTTTCTGATTGTTTTTCTAGTAAAGTTTTTAAAATTTTCTTCATAAGAAGCAGTAAATAACTGCTTAGCCTCTTCCCAACTTTTATGGAAAGAATGTGATTACTGTTCTTAAATATAAAATATTTGCAAACCTATTCAAACATGACTAGATGTCTGACTTCTTGACACAACCCCATATATCTGGTTATAAATTTAATACATCTGGATTTTCTGGGAGGCTACAAGCAGCAGTTTTGGACCTTCCTGATTCCTCAAATGAAAACAGAATGGAAGAACTAGAGAGCAAATCCAAATACCCATGGGAAACACAACATAACTATGGGGAAAGCTGTGTATTGTCAGTATCTGCTGGAGAGAGCAGAGGGAAGCCTGAGAGCATCTGAGCAACCTGAGACTCCCAAACAGCCCACGGGTGTTGACTGGAAAGTGCTGAGGGCCAATCTGACATAGCAGCTGAGAGTAGGAAGGGGTCAGTCCTCGCTGTGCCAGGCAAGTCTGCTGTTAGCCTTGGAGCTGGAGAAACCTGGCCCCTGGGAACTCTCCCAATGCAGAGCCCTCACTAAAGACAAACTGCTGGAAGTAAAATCAAGACTAAGCAGGATAGGATAGGCACAGCACAGCACAGACAAAGGAAAAAGAATATTTAAATGAGAAGTGGTGCGGTTGGAACAGAGTCAGGAAATCTCAGAAGCAACCCACTGCATTTCTTTTCCTTTTTAAAGTTTTTTAAAGTTTCTTTCTTTTAGGAGAGAGAAAGACAACACAGAGAGAGGGAACACTCCCCCCACAGTTTTTTTTTTTTGAGAGGTTTTTGCTATAGGGCGCGTGCGCTCACCAGACAGAGAGAGACAGAGAGACAGAAAGCGAGAAATCACCCCCCAAGAGGGATGGCCACGGCGGAATCCCTTGCCCCACATCCATTCTCCTCTCGGGATCTTGGGTACGCACGCACACACGCCCAGCGTGAGGTTAAGTCACCGGGTCCGGGACTCGAACTGCAGTGGACTACCTGGAAGTCTAGCGACATAGCCATTACGCCAACTGCTGATCTCTTGTTTTTTTTTTTTAAAGAGACTTTTGCTATAGGGTGCATGTACTCGCCAGAGACACAGAGAGATCAAAAGTGAGATATCACCTTCTGGGGGGATGGCCACACTGCAATCCCTTCTCCATTCTCCTCTCAGGAATTTGGGCACACACGCAGATGCGCCCAGTCCAATAGGTTCTTGAAACATCACAACCCTCCCCATCAGCCTTCCAGCTCTGGGTGTACCTATCATATTCAGGTCCTTCCGGAATCCCAACCCCACACCTCCAGTATTGCATAGAGATGCCCACCACACATACCATGTGGCTGGGTCCCTACCATATTTCTGAATAGTATGTATACCAGAAAAGAGCTCTGTGAGATTAGAAAACTCAATCTGACATCAACCTTCTTCTAAATGCTGAAGAAACCTAAAATTCACATGAAAATGAAATACAGGGTTAAGAGAATAAACAGCAGAGTAATATCCATACTAAGAATAAAAGTATGTTAGAAATACATACTCTTCAAATTGCTAACACAGAACTTCAAAATAAACTAAAAAGACAATTATTCATTACTCTGAGGTTGACACTCTTTAAAAGGTACACAACTGAAAAGCCATTCATCAACAAAAGGCTCCAAGTCTCTTTCCATAATTGGTATACTTTGGGTCATCTAAAATACCCTAAACTTGTATTTATTTCTAAGAAACATCCTCTTAGGTCCAAAGTTACAGAGCAGTAGCACTGAGGCCATGGCAATGTTTAGTTTAACCTGTAAAAGTATTTAAAAAAATTATGCATTATTTGACAGTATTTAAAAATAGGAAGAATTAAGATTCTTTATATTTTTAGTTTGCTGTAGGGAGCATATACTCGCCAGAGAGAGGGGAAAGTGAGAAACCATCCCCCAAAGGGGCCAGCCATGCTGCAATCCCTTCTCCTCCATCCCCCATTTGGAATTTTGGGCCGGCATGTACACATGCCTGGTGGGCCTGCGCTCAAGCCACTGGGTCGGGACTCAAGCCATGCAGTTGGCCATGTGGAATCCAGCTGCCTTAATCTCTGCATTGCTTGCTTGTCCAGGAAGATTTAAGATTCATAAAAATCTGATTTGTGGCTCCTCTTGAACTCTGAGAGATGAGGCAACACAAGTCCATACATACACAGAGCAACAACCAGCTGACTGGAAATAAGGTTATCCTCCCTATAGAGAGGTCTTTCCTACATTCCAGTACATTTACCATTCCACATTGTCTAACATAGGATGAATTCATTCTTTTGTTACTTGTCTGGCCCCTTTATATATCTGAGTATGTACTGGTTGAAGCTAATACCCCCGCCACCATTTAAATATAATGGAATTTATTCATGAAGTACATTAAAAACAAATAGTGTAAATATACTTGGTTTACACTGTGAATCCTTTAGCCAGTAGGCAGAAACCTCGAAGCCAGGAAAGACCCAAGCTTAACGATTCATCATTGTTTTATCAGAACAGGGCAGACTTCAGGGAGGTCATTAGCACCAGTGGCACCTCCACTGTCTCATGGACAGAGTTCATAGTCAATAGCTCTCCCTCACTGAAGAATTACAATAAACTGAGAACAAGATACATGGCAATACATCCAAAATACTATCATTTCAACATGTAATTTACATAGAATTATTAATGAACTTTACATTCTGTTTTTAGCCATGTGTTCGAGGTCCACTGTATATTTACACTTAAGACATCTCAATTCAAACTAGACTCTTTCGAAGTGCTGAGTAACAATGAGGGGCTGTGCCTACTGTATTAGACAGTACAGTATAGATAATAGTATGGACAGTCTTACATACCTAGATCCAAATGAGAGTTTTATGGAAAATCAAATGAGTTTATGTATTAGACTCATACAGAAAGCCATGTCATCAAAAACAAAAGCCATCTGATCAATCTACATTTAAAAAACATATACTCTAGGATTCCAGACAAAAGTACAATTAAGAAATATGCCTGGCTCTTGCAGATTGGCATTTGTCTAAGTGTTAGGGAAACCCAGAAAAGGAGAGCAAATCTCTTTGTCTAGAGAAGAAGTGGATGAGTGTTCTAGCTCTGTCATGAATACATTCCTTAGCAGTCATAACATAGAAATGGTACCCACTGTAGCCTTATAAAGCACATTAGCCGGCCTATCCTGTTATGTAGGTGTTACCATACCCTTTTCAGAAATGAAAAGCTTGACTTATCTAAGTTATTTTTCAACTACCAATTAAACTCACAAGAAAAATACTATCCTTTAAATTAACAGAAATAGTTTAATGTAAAAGGATAACCTAGATCCTTTCCAAAAATATTTATTGACCTCTATCTTATTTTTAAGTTCACTTTTTCAAAAAAATTAAGTTTTTAAAAGCAGGGTACACCTGAAGTTATAAAAAATAAAATAAAATTTTTAAGGGACCTGCCTATTGTGGTCCAAATGTTCTGCAGGGCTAGGAGCCATGTGGCCAACCATGGGCTGGGATCCCCAGATCAGCTTGAAAACTCTGGGATGCTGGCCAGGATCCTGAGGAGATGGAGGGCTGAGAAAGGGAATCATCGCATGAGGAAATCCTATTGAGGGTGCTTCTTTCTTTTTCTCTCATGCGTGTGCTACCATAAAAATGAATGAATGAGTGACCATTTTTAGGGCCATCCATGGTGATGCAGCAGTAGCACACTACTGTGTGACACTGGAGGCACATGGAAAATCGGGGTTTGGTACCCAGGTCGAGCTACCTATGCTGGTGCGTGTATGTGTGCCTGTGATTCTAGCTGGCGAGAGAAAGAATGGCTGTGTGAGATGCCACTGAGGGTCCCTGTCTGTCTCTCTCATGAAATAAATAACCTTTAAAAAATAAATAAAACCAATTAAAAATGTTTGGCTTGAGCTATACAAC